TCAGCACCTGTGAGGTTGATACCGAGACCACCAGATCGAGATGACAGGATGAAGCATAAGATGCGGGGGTCACTGTTGAAGCGATCGGTAAGAATCTGGCGCTGCTCGATCTTGGTAGACCCGTCAAGGCGCAAGTAGCGATATCCATGGATGTTCAAGAATTGCTCGAGAATGTCAAGAACCTTTGTCATCTGGGTGAAGATGAGCGCACGGTGGCCACCAGCCTGTAGATCTCGAAGGAGTGTTGCAAGACGCTGAAGCTTGCCACAGTCATATTGAAGGAGACGCTTGTCCGGAAAGGCGATCGATTGTCGGATGCGCGAAGAATGAAAGGGGTCTTTTTCGTGTGCTGCCTCCGACGATCGAATCAGCTGGACACCGCGCCTGGACAGGGTCAGAGGTGCTAATTCCTCGGCTGCAACGGCAGGCGTAACGCATGTGAAGCGGGTAATGAGAGGCTCCATGGCCTCAGCACGCTGCTCCAATGTTGGGATCATATCATAGAAATGGGTGATTTGTTGATCGTGCCAGTGCGACAAGACACGATGAGAGCGCGGTGACCTGAATCCGAGTAGACCATGATGACGCTGAACGATGTCATAGTGAATCGCTTCCTCTTGTCTCGGTTGCATTTGAGCCTGACCGAAGCCGTGGTAGTTGGGATGTGGAGTGTGATGGGTTCGGTAGAGGAGAGGCTTGGCCACTCTCTTCCCCTCAGTGATAGCCCCAAATGTAAAATCGTGCCAATCGACGGTCAGTGCGTTAATGATGTCCTTTCCGTAAATGGGCATGAACTGGGTACGCGCGCGAGTGAGGTTGAGACTTGTTTGCAAATGGTCCCGAACGGCCACTTGCTCTCGCTTCGCCATCGCTGCCATAGTCGCTTGTAATGAAGAAGTGCCCTTGTCGATGGGCTTGTTGATGCGCCGTGTTTGGCGCTCGATCAGATCCTCCAGGGGCCGTGTGGCGCGAATAGGGTAGGTGCGTCTAGCGTGACCCAACTGCGTCTGTTCCCGTCGCGCAAACACCAAGTTCAAGGCGTCTAGATTTACTTGCTTATCTTCCATGCCCTCTTGCAGTCGCTTCCTGATGAGAAGGTCCTTGATCTCATACTGAGCAGCGACTGGCTTGGGCATGGCCATGGACGTTACAATGGCTCGTGTTTCGAACAGGTCGGGATGATTGCAGACTTTCCGTAATGACATTAAGCAATTGATAATCGACATGTAGTTGCCGGAGGACAGGATCTCCTTGGTCGACGCGCGGCCCATGAACCCATCGTAGAGCTGCCGTTGCCGTTTGGAAAGCTTGCAGTAGACAACGTGCTCATACTTCCCTGGCATTTGCTTCTCAACCTCTGATTTCAGCCTTCGAAGCAGGTAGGGGCGAAGGACTTCGTGAAGCCGCTTGACAACCTTCTGCGCTTCCGCATCAAGCTGCTGCCGACCTTGATCGAGAATCTGCGAAGTAGGATTCTTGAGAGCCAAGGTAAACTCCTCCAGTCCCGCGATGCGACCTTCCCCGGCAAAGCCAGCTGGCATCAAGAAGTAGAGCAGCGACCAAAGCTCATCGATGTTGTTTTGTAGAGGCGTACCGGTCAGTAACAACCGTCGCTCTGTTCTAAGGTTAAGCATAGTCTGCCATCGTTGAGACTTGAAGTTCTTGATGTTATGGGCTTCATCGAGGACCAGGTAACGCCAGGGACGCATCTTGAAGGCTGCTGCGTCTTGGAGGATGAGCTGGTAGGAGGTAATGACGACGTTGTACATGTCCTTGCCAGTGTTGCGCCAGCCCATGCGCTTTCGTTTTCGCTCATTGATGTCGCCATAGTATGTCAGAATCTTGAAGCCTGGCAAGAACTTCTTGAACTCCATCTCCCAATTGAGCATGACACTGGTGGGTACGACGACTAGATGTGGTCCCCATATCTCGCGGCGAACAGCGAGGTAGGCGAGAAGTGAGATGGTCTGTATAGTCTTGCCCAGACCCATCTCGTCTGCGAGGATTCCGTTTGTCTCGGATTCGTACAAGTTCGCCAGCCAGTCCAAACCATCGTGCTGGTACTCTCGGAGGGTACCGCGTAGTAAGGATGGCACCTCGGTCCTTGGTGGGGATGATGTATGCCGTGATCGAGAAGCGCTTTTAGAATGTACTACATCTTCCATCGGAGTTGGCTCAGCTGCCTCGACGGTAGGAGCAGGTTCTGTTTCAGAATGCCCGTTCACATGTGGCTCGTCTACTTCAGCGACAGAATCATGACCATTCACATGTGGCTTCTCCTCATAGACTTCCGCGGGCGATGTAGCATGGCCATTCGTTTGTTCGGGCTGAGTTGTCGGGTCTTCCGGTTCCACATCGTCAATCGCGGTCTTGGCGGCCTCTTTCAGTTTTTTGATGTCTTTAGGTGCCAAGAAACCCATCATGCCTAAGTCTTCTCCCTCACTCTCATCCTCGTCGTCTTCTTCCGAGCCGGCTTCTTCATGACCATCACCCTCGCTATCCGAACCTTCGTTGCTCGACCAAGCTTCACTACCAGATTCCGAGCCCTTGTCGTCCTCAGAATCGAGCAAAGCATCATCAACCTGATCGAGCTCCACTGTGGCGGGATCGATATAGTCTGGCTTCTGTTTATCCCCATCTTCTTCGTGGTCGTGAAAGCCGTTCGTCTGTTGAAATGGGTTCTCTGGAAGCTCGTTCGTGTTGTCGACATCGAGGTCGGGATCGGGTGTTGGCGCAGGAGTGCCCTCTTCGGAATCAGCGTCGTCATCGTCTTCGCCGTCGTTTGAGTTGACTTGCGCCTCGGAGCTGCTCTCGGGGAGATCGGGAAGTTGTCCGTACTTCTCGCGTAGTTGTTCGGCCGTGAGGTTCGCATCTTCGTCCTGCTCGTTCTCTTGTTCGCTATCGGAGCTGGAAGACATGACATCGTCGTCGTGCTGTTGTTGTGAGGCATGCGACACCCCGCTTTCGGATTCCATCTCATCGAAATCACGGTCTTCGCTGACCAAGGAGGAGGCCCCGTCGCCAGCGTTACGACCACCCAGAATCTCTTGCGCTTGATTAAACATGTCGTCCATGGCCTTGTGTCCGAGCTGCAACTGTTCCTCCTCATATTTAGCCACACGCTCCTTGTCGATCTCAACCCTGACCAAGCCCCATGCGTCCTTGACATCCTTCACGAGCTGCTTGTATCTCGTCACTTGCCGCTCGGTCTCTTCCTGTTCGATCTCATCTTGGCTCTTGCGCTTGAACTTGTTCTTCCAGAAGTCGTATGCTTCTCTGGCCAAGATCTTGGCCGTCCGCCGATGGAATGCCTTCTCCTCCTTCAAGAGCTTGTTGAAGTGCAGGGCATGAGCGACCACGTGGTCCCAATGACCGTATTGTGGCGGTGGCTCTGGGGCTGCTTCAGGCGCATATACGCTGCATCGTGCCTGGCTCAGAACTCCATGCTCAGCAGCCTCGACAATCTGCAGCCGGCGCTCGGCCTCTTCCTCGGCCTTTTCCTGTGTGATCCGAAGCGCCTCTTCGCCGTCTAACGGGTCGTCTTGTCCTAGCCACTCTTCGAGCGACGCGTACTCTGACTTGGGCGGGGCATGGTGGGGATGGCGGTTGGGAGGGTCGGGCTTTCGCAGTCGCAGGCGGAGACGAGGGGCAGGCATAGATGGGTTCGAGTCGTCGGGCGATCCATACAGGCCGGCGTAGGGGTCGTGTCCGTTCGTTTCGGCATCGTCCATGGGCTCGTCACCTAGATCATCGGTAAGTGGCTGCGCTCCCCTCCGAGAGCGCCCGACCCGCTTGCGCGTGCCTTCGGGCGACCCATTCTGCAGTGCTGGCGACGTGACGGGCGAAGTTGTCGCAAGTGCTGGAGGCTTTCTCTGGCGCTCAGACTTGCGCGCCGGCGTTGCCAGAGACTGTGCGGACACCTTTTTGGTGATGGTGGATGGCGTCTTCCCTTTCGAGACAGATATGGGTCCTGAGCCATTGCGCGACTCTCGCTTGACGCCGTTCTTAGGGGTGCCGTTGGTCTGCGTCGCCTTGCTGGCCGGGCGAGAATTCCGCTTTACAGGTTCCGGCGTTGGCGGTGCAGCATCCTTGCTCACACGTGATGATTTCCTGACGCCATTCTCGAAGACTGTCGTCGGTCCATCAGCCACGAATGACTTCCAGGGCGGCGATGCGGCGCGTGATGCTGAGCGGCGCGGTGTGGTGTCTTCGAGTTTCCGCCGTTTTGGCGGCCGCTCAATGACGCCACCATCATCGCCATTTACAGGTGCCGGCGGATGTTCCTCCTTGATCACAGGTGCGCTGTCGTTCTCGCTCTGTTCGCCATTGTGTGTGATGTCGGATGGGTTGTGTGCGGCGGCCGAGTCGCGTGGTGGGATGGAGTCGATGTCGCGATCCGCGGCGGTAACTTCTTCCATTCAGGAAGGGCGAGAGAGGCGGCCTGGGGAGCCTGTTGACCACCCGGCGCGCGGCCAAATCGACATATATCAGCTCGAATTCGGAGTCGCAAGATAGCCTGACGCGTGCTGGTGACGGTGATGGGGTCGGATTTCAAATTCGGGCTCGCGTTGGGATGATGCGGTGTTATGTCGAAGTTGTGAGATGGTAAAAACAGAGCCGGCGATAATGTTTGGTAGGGATCACGCTAAATACCGGCACGGGCGCGCATGCCATCCCTTTGACGTGAACGACGGCGGAATGCTGGATATCACGTCTGAGAATGCTGTGACTGAGGCTGTCTAAAACCTCCGCAGATTCTTTCAGGCAGGCGTCGGGTTGCTCAGTCGCGTAGACACCTTTCGTGTCACATCCATGACCGACCGGTCGTGGTACTACGCAGAGCAGTTAGACCCACTTCTCCGCCAAGCATTACCGGGGCCGCAACTGAGCTCATCGCGAACGACACATCAATACTGCAACCCATCCAACCCCCGCAATTGCGCCACAACGTACGAAGACACCGAAGACACGCATCGCGCAAATACTCACTCGGCTCTAGCATGTTCCCCAGGCGCATTGTAGCGGCACGCCCGCTGGCTCGAGCCGTCGTCCCCGCCGTAGCCCGGCCACGACCCCAATTCACCCAAATCCGAACCGCCCTCACCGACGCTGAGAAGGCCCACGCTGAGCTCACAGACCCGAACCAAGTACGCCCACTTTTTCTAGAGAATGCAGGAAGGACCTAGTGCTGATGGTGATAGAACGGCGGCTACATCAACCCTCCCGCTGAGAAGCGAGGAAACCGCGACCCGTACGGTGACTACTGGGACAAGCAGGAGCGCCGCAACTATGGCGAGCCCTGCCACGAGGACAACGATATCATGGGTGTACTAGCGCTCCACGACTACAACCACTTCACCCCCCAATGGGGCTTCGTCCTACTGGGCACCTTCGTCGCTTCTGTCTTCGGACTCTGCGCGGCTGTTGGCACCTTTTACCCCGACAAGCTTAGTGCGCCCAAGACATACCCAGATGGTCTGGAGGCTGAGCTGGGTGGAAAGGGTGCATTGCTAGTAAGTGCATTATGGTTCGGTGTGGACTACTGCTAACAGTGTATAGGCAAGGAAGCCCGGTGAGGGCTGGTAAATTGTATGCAGACTCAACTGACATGTACATACAACCCAATGGGATTCTCTTTGTCAATTCAATACCCGTTTCCATCTTAGGCTAGTTTGATTTCAAGGTCCATCGACAATCTAGTCTCAAATACTAATGCATCCATCCCGTTCTGGTTCAATTAGACGCTGATTCGAGAACCTGGAACCACTCCGTCAATACAGCACTCTGCGTTGCGTGCGGGATAATGCGTCTCGGCATCCTCTTCAAGACCGGCATCCTACGACACCCATCCAGGGGCACCATTCGCCACTACGTCATCGCAGCAATCCAGGAGCACACCCTCGTGGGCCCCATGCATCCCGCAATTCATGCCCAGGCCATGAGAGCACTCAAGTTCCCACTGGCCACGGACTGATCTACCCTTGTTACATGCTCACTTTGTCGGTAACCGCCCAGGATACTTGCTAGGATCCGATTGGTCAACCCACATATTTATACAAGCAATCAATAGGACCATATACGGCAGTTGACTTTAGAACCTTCTATGGGAAAGGATCCTTCGATGAAACTACCCGACATGGCGAACCGTGAACATGATGTGGGGTGAGTTCCATGTGGAGACCTTGCTTCGAACGTCACTCATGATATATTACGAGACTCATGTACCACAACAGCACGTTCCCTGAAACTCAACATCGAACTCCCATTTTCCCGTTGTCATTGTCCACTTGGATCGTTCATACCACTTGATCGTCAGCATGTACTGGTCCTCGCTCACGCTCACGCTCACCTCTTTGTTCCACAATGTCGCAGCATCGCCGACTCACGACCTCGAGGCCCGACAGTTTGCAACAGCGGCGATGCTACGTTTCCAGTGCTCTCAACTAGTCTACGACCGTATCGACCCGCTTGTCCAACCCGGCATTGCACCTTCAGCACACATGCGTAAGCGATGCCCATATACTACCTTGATACAGTACGTATACTAAATTTGCATGTCATTGTTTAGACCAGATCGTCGGCGGAAACGCCTTCAATGTCTCCATGCCACCGCTCGACCTCGACCCCAGCACAGAAGCCACTTGCACAACCTGCGATTTTGCCGAAGACCTCTCAAACTACTGGACCGCGAATCTCTACTTCAAAGCGCGTAACGGCACCTTCCAACGCGTCCCACAGATGGTCAACTTGGGTCTACAAGGCAGAGAAGGCGTCACGGTGTACTACATCCCGCCATACGACGGGAAGAGTACGGTGACCGCGTTTCCCAAGGGTTTCAGGATGCTGGTTGGTGATCCAGGCTTGAGAGCTAAGGAGGGTCAGCAGAAACAGCTCTGCCATCGCTGTTTCACGAATAAACAGCAAGATCCATTTGGTGGGGCCCCATGTATCGGAGAGTTTGACACAGCGAGCTTGCCACCGGGCATGTGTGGAGGTGGAATCCGGACGACTATTACATTCCCAACGTTTGTTGACTCCATTTACCTGGCTTTGCGCGTATCGCTAATCTCGAATATAGATGCTGGGATGGCAAGAACGTCGATTCTCCGAACCACAAAGACCATGTCGCGTACCCTACAACTGGATCCTTCGAATCTGGCGGTCCCTGCCCATCGACTCATCCAGTGAAGATGCCTCAGCTCATGTACGAGGTCATGTGGGATACTACGCCTTTCAATGACGCGGCTCTCTGGCCTGAGGATGGGTCGCAGCCGTTTGTCTACAGCATGGGTGATGCGTGAGTGACCTGCAGCGGCTGTGGGGGAACAACACTAATCATGTATAGGACTGGCTATGGCCAGCACGGCGATTATGTCTTTGGCTGGAAAGAGGGTGCGCTGCAGAAAGCGATGGACCAACGCTGCTTCGGGAACACCTGCACGGGGTTGACGACACAGGCTGCCGATGTGTCGACCAAGTGTGGGGTACCACAGGCTGTGAAGGAGCCGGTTGAAGGATGGCTCGATGAGTTGCCTGGTGGTCCAGTCGTGACCTATGAGTGATCCGGGTCAATCAAACTGAACCGTGGGAGGGTAACGTACAAACGTGGGCCGAACTTAACCCTGCAAGTAACCCGACATTCGTTGCACTATGTTGATTTCTATAGAAGAACGACTATTTCGTTAATAGCATATCGCGCTCGCTTGAAAGACTTCCCACTGGCTTTTTGAAAAATTTCCTGTCCAACTTGTCCAGTGGTCGTGTGGTGCGCAGACTCCGGAACGAGCAATCGGCCGCTCACCGCGGTTGGACTTTCGTTGTCATACAAACGGCTGATCTTGCAAGGGACGCGTCCGCACCCTCCACTCCCACCAATTTTCATCATAACCGCCATGCGTCAATGTGAAGAAGACAAGGTGAGCCAGAAGAGGAAGGAGTGCCAAAGGCGCGAAGCGAATGTTGCGCTTTCGCATGTTGTCATCCACGAAGATCCTGCAGGAAAAGATGAGACACCGGTACCCGGACATGATGAGAAGCTACCGGCGAAAGACGTATCGCCAGATCCTTCTGACGCTGCTCAGTCACTTCGCCCTCTACCGCAGATCTCGCGCAAAAGACAACGCGAGCCTAGTTGCGAGTCACGAGACCCGTCACTCAAGGAGTCGATTGTCGATACATCCCAGCGAGATTCCACCGACGCACACAGCCCGTACTCAGAATCAGCAACAGCCCCACTGGAGCACTACATCCGCCTAGCCTCGAAGTCCATGTCGCTCCCAACTCCTTCCGACTCGTACTTCACCTCACCAGAGCACGCGCCAGTACTCCACCGCAATCGCGAGAACAAGATCATAATGTACACAGGCTCCTTCAACCCACCGCATCTCGGTCACTTCGAACTGGCCTTTCATACATTCCTACGTAGCTCCTCCACCACCATCGCCGTCGTCTTCCTTCCATTTCGCGATAAACTCAAAGCGAAAGACGGCGCTATGGTCAACGGAAAGGTCTTCGCCACTGAAAAAGAACAAAGAATCGCGCTACTACAAAACGACCTACTGCAGCGCTGGACTTGGTTTCACAGAGGCCATCGCACAGATTTCGAAAAATACGGGGCTACTCTGATCAAAGAAGCGAAGAAAGACGGATTCCAAGTTTCCTTTGTAGTCCTAGCTGGAAGCGATAAATTCGAACGCGAAAAAGTCGAAACAAAGCCCTCTTGGCTCATAGGATGGGGAGAAATAATCACCAGCGACATTACACGGCCGTCTAGTCTGTTCAAGGGTCCAATGCATCCGCCCAGACGGCTACCTGGATGTAGATCTTGGCGTTTGATCTCTACACCAACCAGCAGGAAGGGAGACTCTAGCTGTAAATGTGGAGGCGCGAATCATGAATGTCGCATATCTCTACGGATCCAAGAGTACTGCGGTGGGCATGCTGCTTTAGATAGCGAACCGCATGTCCGATCAAGGCAAGACAGTTTGCTGCATGCAATTCTGGTAAGATGCCATGAGGGAGTGGGGGCGACATGGGTTTGCCACAAGAAGAGTGGGGGTACAGTGACGTTTTTGGGTAGTGGAAGAGATACTGAGGGCCATGAGAAGAGAGAAGAGGTTAGTTCTTCGGCCATCAGAAAGATACTGGGGGAAGGTGGCAGTAAGGCGGAGATGATATCAAAGCTGGATAAGGTCATGTTGAACCCAGAATTGCTAATACTATATCTTGGGCTGGATGAATAAGTGGCAAAGACATGCTGGGCTTGGGAGAAAGAATATCCTCAATGCTTTGAGGTACCCAGACCAAGGAATGCAGAACTACAAGGCCCTTAATAACGGTTCTATCTTCGAAGTAGGGCCTGATCGTCATCCTTTAACAATTATTGACCATACTGAGACCGATCCAGTGCTCATCGAAATCCCTTCGTCCAGCAGGAACTTTGGTGGAATCGCTGTCACAGGTATTCCGAATATAGTCCATGTCGACGCCAATATCGCTGGCCAAAGCACAGAATCTAGTGTCGCGCTACAATAGTCATCAGATCAGCTCTTCATACTCAAGTGTATTGGGGTAAATAAGACATACCAAGTTGCACAAGTAGACAGCGCAATTGTATGAGCAGCTAACGATGGCGCAGTGATTGAATCCACCATTGACACAGTACCAGGTGTGGTGAAGTCCGTTCAGGCGATTCCAGCCGTCGTTGCAAGACTTGTGGCCAAAGACATCTCTGCCCCATTCACAGTTGAGCTATTGACAATGGTGTGAGCATGCATGACTAAAGTTCCGGGGGTGACATGAGCTTGGAGACTTACGGTTGATCGCTTGTGCAAGGAGCGCGCTTTGGCGACATCTGAATCCTTCGTGTCGGGGAAGGCCTCGGGCTTGAGCGCCTTCATCTCCTCGTAGACAGATTCCGCGGTGCCCGTGAAGGTGACGTCAGGGAACCGGTCGTCGGTTACCTCCAGCTCTACGAGAACTATGTTGTCGCCGGATATCTGAACGCTGCCCATGGAGAGATCTTGGGCTTGGGGCACCGCCGTGGCGTTGATCTATTCGCCAAATTAGTCGATGTTGAGTGCAGGAAATTACTGAAAGCGGTGGGAAGTTACGCACAGTGCAAGTCAAGAGGCCCAAAGCGGCAAGGAGGATAGCGAAGAAAGGCCTCATCTTAGCACGAGAACTGTCGGTGACTTGGGTAGGATGTATGTGATGGTAAGTTGAATATGTCCGTAGCCTGAACCGGCTCTTTCCAAGATTGTTGGTGGTGAGACTGGAGAATAAGAGTGGAGAGAAAATTTCGCTTCTTTATACCCTCCAGTCTCTATGATAAGTGAGTCCCGTCCTTCACCCCAAGATCCGGACTGCGGTTACCCCTCACTTACCTGTGCGCACGGTGGAGGTACGTCATTGGGCGAATACCCAGCGTGGCACGCGCTCTGCAAGAGCGTTTGCCTAAGTCTTTCGCACTGGTGCCTGGTTCAGCATTTGGAATGGGTTGTCTTACTCGGTCGCCACGATAATGCAATTCGGTGGCTTAGAAATATCGCGGTTGATAAGGACGTTTGTATGAACGTCGAAACGATAAGTATTGCCTGACGCATGAGGTAGGAGTGCTACCTAATCATCGACAAAGAGATGACTCGTTGCCAGAACGCCGGTCATCAATGATGTGTCCCATCGCTTTCATATGCCTAAAAGTACAATGTGGGGGTATCTAGAGGATTTGTGGGCAACAGAGGGACATCTAATGCCTCTCTCTGATAGGCAACGGCCCCATGATATACTCCATCCTCGTAGCGGACTCCCCATCAAAGGTCTCGTGCAACTCTGCGTCCATATTCTGAGCTTGAGCTTCATCCTCTGCGTCCTCTGCAGCACCCCTTTCCCTTCTCTCCGCTCTCTCTCCGGGTCGGCGGTCGTTCCCTGTAAGAACGGAAGCTCCAGCTTGCGACCCCAATTCTTGATCATCGGGCTCAGAATCGTGGACATGGAACACTTCACACATTGCCTTCCTCATTCCCTCCAGCCGGCCCATGATGCCATCTCCGGAAAGATTTTTGGGAAAGGGTACGATCCTATCTTCGCTTGCGGAAGTCAAGCAGTCCATCAAGAACTGTTTCGGCAGGTCATGCATCCATTCTTTGACGTCCGCCTTCTTTCCAATCTTCACTATGATATCGACAGCGAGATGACGTAGTGAAGAGGCTGGAGTGCTCGCTTTGTATATATTGAAAATACATTTGTATGGAAGATCGTCGGGGTCGTCGTAGATGCGCAGGAAGAATTCGTCTAGAACCGCATTTCGGAGCAAAATGATCCCCAATTCGTTGGCGAACATGAAGACATGGATGAGTCTGCCGTAAGAGATTCTCTGATTCGTGGTCTCGTCCGAATCGGGCGGAGGGAGGTAACCGGTCTTGAGGAATTCGAGGTAGATGCGGAAATTGCGTGGTGATACATCGGGCAGGCTGAAGAACTCGGATAAGTCGTCCAGTCTAGATTATGTCAGTACGAGTTTGCTTGGTGACACTTTTGTGATGTTGTGCTGGATGTCTCCAAAGTGAAGTAAAAGAGAACAGATGATGTAGACTCACTGATCGAAGAAGTAGTCAGACGTATTGCGCAGTTGTCTCAACGGCGCGTCGAACATTTCGCTGTCGCTACCATAGCCTACTTCCAGCGATACCTGCTCGGGACCAAGCCATTTGCTAAGATCTCCGGGGAGGTCGCTGCAAGGTACGAAAGCCTCCGGCATCCTGGTTCCTAGTGTTGACGATGTCTTGAGTCGCGGTGTGCTCCGATGTTGGAGCTACGGGAGAGAAGACGCAGAGTCGCAATGGCCGTTATGGATGTTCAAAAATTGTCAAAGCGCGGTTACCTGGAAGCAAACGGTGAAGTGAAGGTGAACACGCGCAGTTTCGAGGACCAGACATGGAAACGCGCACCGACAGTTTTGTGTAAAGAGGATATTGGCGGCTAGACCGCGAATTTATATGGATTTACCTCATACAAGAACGCTGAACAGGTCTGCAGACTACATCAAAACAATAACTTGCAAAGTAGATGAATTGACGTTAACGTAGGCTCCAGGGTGTTCGGTTTTTCCTTTGGGTTAGCGTGAATTTATACGAGAAGACAAGGCGACGATATCTGATAGTTGACAAAACGAGGGGAGATTTAGGCGTTTGTGACCCTGAGGACTGATTACGAGCAGCACTTCCTAACGTACGTTCATGTGAGACGTGATGTGACGGCCCTACGACACTTCTGTTAACGCACAATACACCTGCCTACATTGAACACCATGGATATCATCTAGCTAGCTATCCTACCTCATATCAACTCGTATCTGCGAAAGCCACCATATAGACGCCTCGCTGTCCATCCCACATACCATGAAGCGGATGCCACCGATAATACATTAGCTAAGTATACTCAACGCCCAAACGACACACAATGATGCAGAGGTATCAGAAAGCAAACGAACGCCAAAACAGTGACATGTGACATGTGACAAAAAGAGTCAACGGGTGGCTTTCTCTTATCGACGTGGGCCGCCCATGCCGCCCGTCATGCGACCACCCCCAGAGTTGAGACTCTGGCGTACGATCATTTCTGCCGCCTGTGCAGCAGCGAGGCGTTCCTATTGTTGGTTAGTAAGCGTAAGTATTGAAAAGGATTGATGATGCATACCTTCTGTCGACTTCTGTCCTTCAGGTACCGCTCCGCCTCTGGCCTCATTCTCAGTATCCTCAAGATCATGTCATCATTAGGCTCCGCCTGTGCTTCCTTTCTCTTTTCTTCCTTGGCTTTCTTCATTGTGCCAAGATTGCGCGACAGCATGATGGTCTTGTGTTTCCTAGTCGGCATCCCGACAAGCCCTGCGGCACCACCGAATTGGTGACCCATAGCAGGCGGCGCAGACATGCGGTTTAGGCGTTGGGATTGTTCTTGTTGTCGTCGTGCACTAGCTGCAGCCATTGACTCGGACGTACGAATCAGGTCTTCAGTAGCTTCAAAGTAGAAGAAGTTGAGGTTCTGCAGCTCGTGATACTTGGGTGACTTGAGCACGTCCATGGGCACACCCTCAACATTCCCATCCTCATCTACAGCGTGGAAGAAGTCGAAAAGCATCTTCAGCCACTTGAACACAATGTCAAGCTCTTGTTGTGTCAGCGGGCGCTGTTGCGAGAGCTTGTCGGATAGCGGGGGTACGAGTAGCGACTCTATAGTCGCGAGTGCCTCCTTCCAGAGTCTTGTCATAACCATGATCATTGCAGCGTCTGTCAACGTCTGCTTCATGATCGCGAAGTTTTCGTCGAAGTAGACGAATAGAGGACCGAGAGCTTGCGTGACGTCCTGTTGCGTAGGGCCTTGGATGACAGACATGGGCCTGGCTTGTCTGAAGTTTCCTAAATAGTTGGTGACCTTGGATGCTACGCCCTTATTGAGCAGGGCATCAAGTGAGCGACGCGAAAGCTTATAGCCGATAAATGATGAAAGCTGCCATCGTTAGCACAGATCTTGCGTTGTGATGGCAATTTGCTTACCTTATCCGTGATCTTTCGTGTCATGTCACGCTCAGTCCTCTTAAGTGTCCTGAATGACTTGCCGAAGTAGAACTGAATGTCGTCTCGCTCGCCTTCCATGCTCACACGCAGCAACAGACGACCCTGCGTATCCAAGTCAAGCCAGTATTCTCGGGGCATATAGTCTCGGAAGTGTGATGGATCGAGCTTGAGAGATGTCCGGCCGACGCAGTCATGGTCGCCCATAGCGTCCCAGTCCCATATCGTTGCAACGACGTTCAGCGGGCCATTAGTCGTGATGTCAATGGTCTCGTCCCAACGAGGGTTAAGGTTGCGGTAGATGACCCGAGTCTTTGCCAGCCGCTTCTGGTACTCATCACCGAGCACAACGTATGGGTCGCTTAGTCCATTCATGTCGCAAGCTTTCAGGTCTTCAGCCTCAATGATCTTGATGGTGAAGACGAAGTTGTTGTTTCGAAGGCGTTGCGTCGGGGGAGGGGAATGCTTTTGGATGACTTCGGCGCACGCATCGACGCCAATCTCGCGCTCGAGCTTATCTAGTTGTTGCATCGCATACTCAATGTTGTTGAGTTTGACAAGCGACTGTATTCGTAAGCATTGAACATGTCATTGAGTCGGATACTTACCTCTGGGTAGAATTGAAAAGGCTCGACCTTCTCCTTTTGGCTGTAGAAGTCCTTGACAGTCGACAACCACTTCTCTGACTTGGTCTGATGAGCGGCAGCCTCCTGCTCGGGGGTCAAACGATCCATCTCTTTAGCAAACTTCTGCTCAACGAGTTCGCAGTATCTCGCGAGTGCGACACCGATCGATTTCGATACGGCAGTCATGAATTTGGCGTATTGGACATCATTATCCCAGTTTAGTGAAACAATCTGCTCGATACTCTGATTGAAGGATCGGAAGACATCCACGACCGAGACACTGTGGCGCTCCTCGTCTGAAGGAATGGGGTTCTGCGACTCGATCTGGAATTGGTCTGCCTTGAAAGCGTTGTCAACCCACCCAATAAGGTTTTGATCCGTCATTTGAATCCATCTCCATACAAAGTCCTGTAGCTGATCTTCGATGCTAAAAGCGAAGTTTTTGCCTGGTAGAGCATCGCTGTGTATGCGGCGAATCTCAACAAGCTCTTTGTACAAGTCGAAGCCATCCTGCACGGGTACATCCTCTCCTTTGCTTTGAGCAACGTCCATGATCCGAGCGACAAGGTCTCGCGCATCTGCAGCGTAAGAGGGAAACATCTTCTCAACGAGGCAATTCATGGGACTAGCACCCATGACCTCTGGGTTCTTGCGGTAGCGCTTCTGTATCCGCTCGCATAGCTTGACCACAGCACGACCCAGCTCAATGACATGGTAGAACTCCCATTCTTCTTTGGTGTCCGGGATGTGCTTCGCTAGCAGCTCTCGGTATACGTCGCCAGCCTTGTCCCTCAGTCCGTGACGCAATTGTTCAGTGAACTGATCCATGTCTTCTTCGGTGCCGGGGAAAGTAGGGTCGTCGTAGATGTGGGTCTCAAGTATGTACATCACCGGTCCGAGTGCAGGCGGTTTGGTGTCGTATACATGCATCATCAGCTCATACAACTCTCTTAACAGGCAGTCGTGCAACGTTGACAGAATCTGCTGGTTGAGAGTGTAGTCCTGGATTGTCCATTTCGTTCGGTCAAACAACGACACTTGTACTGGAATATGGCTCATTCGATTGGACTTCTTGTCAGCTGGCGGTGGTTCCTTGACATAGTTGAAGGCAGCATCGAGGGTATCCAGACTGATGTCTTGGTTAATGTACTTGTCGCGTATGACGTCTAGGAACAAGACGAGACGGGAAAATTGTGGTATCCTCCATCGCAGGGCTATCTCATTCAAAAGCTCAGCCGATTGTTTCGACAGTAGCTTCACAGACGGGTTCTCATTGGTAGCTTCGGATGGTTCGAGATCGTTGTCCGCCAGGTCATACGTCAGTGCTTCATTCAGTATCGCACGATAGGTAGCACGTGGATCTGAAGGTATGAAGGTATAGGATGAGCTATCATTTGGGTCGTCGTTGAGGCTGAGCCCATTCATATCCACAGACTGGTCAATGACATATGAGGAGCCGTTCTCAGACGACATAGAACCCTGCCTCGAACCGTCTGAGTAGCCGGGGTCCAAAGAGGCATTGGGCTTGAAGTGTGGCACAGATCCGGGTGAACTCTTTGCGAGCTCGGGGTTCGACTGTATGATTGCCAGTATCATCTGCGAGAGGTCTGGCACCTCTTGGTTCTTCCATGCCTCGTACGCCTCCTCGGTATCGAAGTCGTCACTGTTCAGCGTCTTCTTGGTCATGAGACTGAGGTGCGCCTGGTATGTCTTGAGATCCTGCAGCGCAGCCTTCTCCGTCCATACGGACTTGTATCGGTTGATATCGGCTTGTACATCGGAGTACCCTACAGCGAAGATGCGTGACACTACCAAGACGAGGGGCATGTCTTTGACTTCATAGCTTCGCGGGACCTCGACTTCGACTGTTGTGCCACCCTGACCGCCATTGCGCTGGTTCTCCGCCGCCAAATCTTGGTCGTGTACGAGTAACTTCTTCTCCATTGTGGCCAACCGATGCGCAAGTTCGGGTCTGTCCTTTTGCCAGTCATGGTCTTTGAGGCAAGAGCTGACAAGACGTAGGAAGAGAGCGACGTGCCGATCTACCATGAGCTTCCAGCTGTCATCTCCGGGCGCCTTCCCCTTTTGCAGTTCCTTTGTGGCGTTGGAGTAGAAAATCAGGAGAAGGTCCTCGACTCTCCTATCTTTGTCCATGTTCTTCCTGAACGACGGGTCCTTGAATGCATTCAGGAAGACAGCGAACGTTCGCTTGACTGTGGCATCCTGGAACTCAGGCATGCGCTCCTGCCCCATCAACACCTTTGTGATCCGTTTGTCCAGTGCAGCCATGAAGTCGCGGGGGAAGCGCGTGCTCTTGGAGTCCCGTATGAGGGAGAAGTCCTTCATGAGGTCGTTTATCGAGGTCGACGATCGCTGGACGTGTTTGGGCGCGGCGGGCACATGTTGCACCCGCTTCTGCCGGGGCTGGAGGAGGTATGCGAGGTATGCCGCGCGGAGAGCGTAGAGATAGGCATCTTGGGCCGTGACGGGGCGCTTCCCCTGGGCGTTGGCTGAACTGCGTCGGCGCAGGCGGTCCTGGGCCTGGAGGCTGTTGATGCGGC